TTATTATATATTTACCGAGTTATTTAAGATCTCGATCAAATAAATTATTTCCGATTTAAAATGTCTACCAAAAATCAGTTTAAGATTTCTAATGTTGAAAGAATTTAAAAAAATTAATTAAAATAATATGCATTATAGTTTGAATAAATTTTACTTAAATAAAAACATGGTTACAATATGCGCAACGATATAAACAACCAAATTAAATTTAATTAACCATTCTAATGTTAACTTAGCAGCAGTCTTTTAATGAAATTACAGTTTTCAGACCGTAAAGTTTGCACAGAAGTTCTTATTTCGTAAGAAATATAAAAAATTCTTTGCTAAAGTTCTTCGATTGTATTCACTTCTGGTGAATATACCATACTTTTTAAATGGTCCCAGAAGTAAAAATCAAGCGCGGAGTTTAAATCGGGAGATCTAAAAGGCGAGTTTATAGGAGCTTCTTGGCCTCTAGCAATCCAACGGCCTGGAAAGTTTTGATTAAGCCGAAACGATTTAATTTTTTTGCGGGCAAACTAGTGCCCTTAATGAAAAACAATGAGATAAAAAACTGATAAATAACTTGTAGTAATTAAAAAAAATTATGTTGATAAAAGTTTAAGTGCACACAAAAAAGTTCTGAACAAGACAAAAGTAGGAGTTTCACATTTCTACCCCGTATAAAAGTAAACTGAACTACAAAACACTACCATAGAATGGCCTTCAATTATCTTATAATGTGTACCAAAATTTCCCAATGTTTAACCGTTTTAAAGAAAAACAACAAAAACTAATATTTTTTGCCATTTTGGAGCTCAAATATCTCAAAAATGAGACCTGAAATTAAAAAAGTTCTCAGGAAGACCCCCCTCTAAAATGACTAGGAGATCACGCTGCTAAAATATTTTAACCTATTTACGGAACACCCTGTATAAATAACAATTATAAAGAAAATCAAACACAATTTTAGTTTATTCACTGGGGTACCATGGGGAGTATTCACTGGGGTACCATGATTTGTACGATAATGTTTATTGAGATTTYCCTGYGTTGAAAAGCTTTTTTGACAAATACTGCAAACATTGGAAATAGACATAACTAATTCTAAAAAGAATGATATAAAAGTTATTATTTGTACGTTATTACGACAGAACACTGATACTACTTCGACACAATCAAGTCAAAGCGTGGTCAGACAAACCGTTTGAATATAAACCTAGTTAGTTTTATATTCAAAGGACACACCAAACCACTTCACTTCCCACTTTTAACAGTTCTAACCTCACCTTTTTAAGATTTGACACGATACCTGACATAACATTAGATACTGGCAACGTTGTAT